AGTCCCTAGTTGGTTTTGTTCCTCTCGATGTCCTCTATTGGGGAATCAAAGCCTAAATGGAGCATTACAAGGTGCAACAATGTATTGCAATGGTACCTTAATGGAAAATGTTAGAACAAGAGTACCTCATGTGAACTCTTAAGGAAACAGATACCATGTCATGTTGGACTTGGGAGGATCATTTGTGATTGGCTTCTTATTTCTGTATCAATACGGTAAGAGTTGATTTTTGGAGAGTCAAAAATGCCTTTCTCATGAATATCATAGCTGTGATCTCCATTGACTGGTTTAATGTCAATATCTTCCATATTCTATCAATAGTTAATTTTCTCCATTTACGGTTGTGCTTTGAAATTGAAAGATGGAACATCATTGTATGCAGGAGGCTGTTGCTGTTACCACTGCCATCCAAGAGGAGATACTTTCCGAGATGGGAATTGGTGAGCTTTAAATTACTCGTGTTTTACTTCAAGGACAGTTTAACTTAGGCAATTGTTGAGTATTAAAGAGCAAGTGCTCTTTTTTCTGCTGTATATCATACGTATGTTCGTCTGTACATATGTTCGAGCATGTGTGGAAAGACTAAGCACTTTTTACAGATCTGTTACAATGTGATTTTTCAGAAGTGGTTGATATATACTTGTGATGCTGATGGTATTTCTGCTGTTTCGTAAAATTGTATGTTTAGCTTGGAAGAAGAACTATATTGCCCACTTTCTACAGGATGATAATCTCGTCATTTTGCTTGTTTCTTAGTTTAATTTGATAAGAAGTTAGATTGAGTTTCTGCTCTCTTTTTGTTATTTTCATTGGTTCAAAAACTAATACTAAAGTTTACCATTGGTGATATGCGGTGTCATCTAATAAATGGAGAAAAAGCATACCTCCAATTATTATTCATGCGTCATATAGTTATATCATTATAATACTATAACGAATGGGAGATCTTTATTTCTCTGCTGCAGATCCAAGAATTGGTCTTGCTTGCTTGGGGAAAATAAACATGACCTATGAGAGTGATCAAGACCTGATGATTCGTTTTTATGAATTTGTTGCAAAGTAAGATCAGCCTATTCCATCTGCGTATTGTTAAGATGAACTTCCATTTTGTGTTTATTTCCCCTTTATACCTTTTGAAGAAAATTTCTTGGCACAGTGTTCAATAGGATATTGAGGCCATTCTTGCTAACAAATCCAATACAGATGTAATGAATGTTGAGTCCTCTGAAGAAAATAACTTGGATTTTGTTCCTTCTATTTTACTGGCCATGAAGAGAAGAAATGGCTTGTGAAGAGGCCGAGCTTGGTCCGGACGGGTTTGCTGAAAGATTAAAGATGCAACAAAATTTACAAGAGCAGGTAAGAGATCTCTTCTCTTGATACTTGATGATGCTATAGATGTGGTAATGAGTGGAAATAAACATTTTGACAGCAACTGGAGATGCTGAAGTACATGCGCAACTTTCACATGGATGATCAATCTGCAATACTTGAGAAGGTAAGGATGAAAACCTACATATTAAGACGATCTCCTCACGAATGAGGATGCTCGTTTTATAAACAAAACATTAAAAAACATGAAATCTTGCTTGAAAAAATCTAGCTAACATCTGTAGAAGTTAAAGAGTACCTGAAGCAATGGGGTTTGTCGACCACGAGCTTTGGTCGTCAGAGTTTACAACTCCATAAAAGTGATGGAACGTATTTTGCATGTTCTACCAATGTTCTTCTAAATTGACTGGCATGTTTGACAGATTCACCAGCAGTTGGAGAAGGCCAACTTTGACACTGAAGCTTCAGTGCTGACAGTGGAGCAGATGCAGGATGTTGTTCTGACGGAGAGTATCACCTTTGTTCCAGCCTAGATAATCACAGAGCTTTCATGGAGTTTCTAGTTTTTACTTGCATTTTAATTCGACTGTGCCATTAGATGTTGAACCATGGCTCCCCCTGTCACACAAAGAGGGAGGAAGAAGAAAACGAGTGAAGAATAGCAGCTGCTTGCTTTGCTGCAATGAAATGGTTAGGGGAAATTTTCTGCTCTGCTGTCTAATATATATACTGGCTGAAACCCAGGAAGCTGAGGGCTGTAGTTTCAGTTTGTTTACTTGAAAGTAGCCTGACAGCTTACTTGAATGAAGTAGTAGTATTAATTTCGTTTGTATTTCAAAATCTATATGATGTGGTTTAAGTAGACATTTATTATCTATCTAATAGCCTGTTTGGCCAAGCTTATTTTTGGTTAAAAGTGCTTTTTTTTTGGCCAAAAGCACTTTTGGCAAAAAATTGAGATGTTTGGCCAAGCTTCTGGAAGGAAAAAAAGTGCATTTGAGGAGAAGCGGAAGTTCCTTCTCTTCGGGATCGAACATCAATTGCAACGATTCGATAGACGGCTCATTGGGATAGATGTAGATGAACAACACCCCCCCTAGAAACGTATAGGAAGCTTTCTCCTCGTACGGCTCGAGAAAAATGATTGATTCGCGGTTTTGTCTCTGTATGGAATTCTATCTAAGAAATGACAACTGGGTCCATAAAATGATCAAATCAATTAAAGATGTAAGTCTTTTTTTTCTTCTTTCTTCCTGAAAATGAAAAAGAAACCATTCGTACTCTCATAACTCAAGTTGGATAACTTTCAAACAGTTCAAAGGAAAATCTTCCGGCAATTTTTTGGAGAAGCAGAAAAAAAGTAGCTTCTCTCCAAAAGCACTTTTTTGAGAAGCACTTTTGAGAAAAATACACTTAGAAGCAGTTTTTTAAAGCTTGGCCAAACACTAATTGCTGCTTAGAAGTGCTTTTCAAACTAATTAGCCAAACACAAACTGCTTCTCACCAAAAGCACTTTTAGAAAAAGCACTTCTCAAAATAAGCTGATTTTTGCAGCTTGGCCAAACGGGCTATTAAGTGAACATTTGGAACATAGGGAGTTAAGATAACTATAAGAGATACAAAAAGCAATCGTTGTGGCATATAATTCGAGAGTAGTTGAACTGAAAATGTATTTTGCTTGGGAATTTGGTATTTTTAGTGATTCAAAAGGAAATATTGGTCCTTTTTGGGCCCTTCGATAAAATTGGAACGATACAGAGAAGATTAAGATGCACCCAGTGCGGACCACATTGAGAGACATGAAAGCATAGGTAGTGCCAGTTGACGAAGTGTCGTTAAGCATCTCTAGCTGTATGTCTGTACCGCTTCTCGTGAAGTAGCTCCCGCATCCAACTAAGTCTTTGACCAGGGAACGAAAGAATTTTCACTGCCGGCAGGCCGGAACAATACATATACAAATCGAAAAATGGTTCAAATTTAAAATAAAACAAAATATTGTAAGTAGAAATTGGGCAATTTTATGGAGTGATTAACACAGCAAAGAAATAATGATGATGATGATGATTGATGGACATTCTTAATTATCATTGTTTGTCAACAACTTAAATAAGATCATACCTCTCAGCCTCCGTTCTTATTAGTAATAAAAAATTGCTAGCGTAGGCACTTTAATAATCTAAAAATTCCTGTAAAATTTGAGTGGAAAATCATGAGTTAAATTTTCTTCTATTTTTCCTTTCATACTTTAAAAAACTTTAACTTGCAGGCTGTAGTTTTACCATAAAATTAAAGTGTATCAATCAAGGAATTTTTATCTCAAAGGTTGATACTTTATTATATAAATACCCTTTTATAAAATTATATTCCATAGTTACCTTTTGATTTTTATAGCCAAATATCTATTTATGATCACCTCCTACCCTTAAGCCATAAAATACGCTTTGTATTATTTTTCTCTCTCATTCTTTCAGATTTTTCTCCACCCTCTCTCTCGACCCCAGTCTTTCTCCATTAATACAACCAGGATTCTCCACTTATTAATTTCCATTGCCTCGCGAAATTTTCATTGTCGGTGGGCTGGGGCTCTGAATCAATGTCGAAATCAAGCCCTAGAGAGAATGGTGGAGGTTCGAAATCTGCTATTGAAAGGTAAATTGAGGGAAATTTTTGAGGGGTTGTATATTTGAAATATGAATTGGAGGGATTAGCAAATGAAATTATAGTGAAATTTTGGGGGAATTTCTTTCGTTTTGGCGCCAAATTTTTGAGAGTTTCGAGTCAGAATCGTGACCTTCTCAACGAGACGACATTACGGTTGTTCTTGAACAAAGACGACGAAGTTTGGGGCTAAGCAACTTGAAGAGTCTGTTACCTTTTTTCATTGTATTTCAATGTATCTCGCTGTATTCTATGTATTTCATTGTATTCATTGTCTTTTTTTCCAATTTTATTTCAATGTATCTCGCTGTATTCCATATATTTCATTGTATTCATTGTTTCGCTATATTCCATGAATGTATTCATATGTTTTTTTAATTAATATAATTTATGTATTCAGATGTATAAATGTATTCAAATGTGTCTGTAGTATGTATTCATATGTTTTTGCACTATAGATGACCTGCTATATTTCATGTATTCAATGTATTTTTATGTATTTAACTGTATTCAATGTAGTTATATAATTTCAATATATAAATCTATTTCTAAAGATAGCACTAGAAAATATTTTAGTAAAGATACCACTAAAAAAATAAAGGATGGATTGAATCTCTGAAGATTGCTCTGTTTTTGGGGTATTTTTTGATTGAGAATTTTTTTTATAACTGGAAATACAAATTTTGTGTGTTATAATTGAGTTTGTTGAGTTATATTAGGAGTCTATCGCGTTAATGGATTCACTGTTAATTGATTCACCTACAGTTTTTAAACAGCTGAAAACCTTTTTTTCCCGCATATTCCGTTACTGTATACAGCCCGCGAATATAGTCGAATACATTCTTTGCTTAGCTGAACTCCCTTATTTTCCGCCAAGTACAGTAGCAAAAATACATCAAATACAGTCTATAATAACTGAAAATATAGCTATAAGAAATAATTTAGTAAATGATAGCTATACCAACCTAATATTCATATTTCTCATAAATCAACTGGGAGGGAGAAAAGGATTTGGTGCGACGAGGTCACACATCCATAAGTGGATAAGCGATAAGGTCCTTTAGTATCACTCACTCTCTTCTCTCGTCTTTTGGCACCGTCAGTCCCTTCCCCCTCTGAGAGTAAGCTTCACAACCCCCGCCCCCCCCCCCACCCACCCCACCCCCCAAA